TCCCTGACTTTTTTTTTAAATACAGAGTCTCCCTCTCCTGCCTGGGCTAGAGTGCCATGGCGTCAGCCCAGCTCACAGCAACCTCAAACTCCTGGGCTCAAGTGATCCTCCTGCCTCAGCCTCCCGGGTAGCTGGGAGTATAGGCATGCGCCTCTGTGCCTGGCTAATTTTTTTTTTAGTTGTTTGACTAATTTCTTTCTATTTATAGTAGAGACAGGGGTCTTACTCTTGCTCAGGCTGGTCTCGAACTCCTGAGCTCAAGCAATCCTCCCGCCTCAGCCTCCCAGAGTGCTAGGATTACAGTGTAAGCCACGGCACCCGGTCCTCCCTGACTCTTGACAGCTGGTCCCCAAGCTGGATTAAGCTGTGTCTTCTGAAAAACCTGCCTCTGGATTGTCTCTTTTTGGTCTAAAATCAACATGACCATATCGGTAAAGAAAAGCTTGGGGAAAAAGTCAGCCACGAACCTACCAACCATTGTTACATTTCCCATTTTCTCCCAGTCTTGGTCCAAGTGGTGGCCTGCTGTCACCATACCATTCTGTGTCCTATTTGTAAACCTGGTGTCAGCAGCCTGGGTGACCTGTCCTGTGAGACATTAAATTGGCTCAACACCCCTCCCAGGTGTGTGTACACACTCTGTCTGCCCCCAGCTCCACTCTCCACCTTCTTCTCCTTGCTCTGCACCTGGGCGCTGGCCCGGGTCGCCTGTACCCACTCCCTCCCATGCTCAATGGAGGCACCGGCCAGAGACCGGAAGGAGGAAGAGGGAAGGAAGGTGAGGTTGGGGTATTCAGTGCATTAGTTTGCCAGGGCTGTCATCACAGAGTATCACAGACTGGGGTCTTAAACCACAGAAATGTGTCCACTCCAGTCTGGAGCGGGAGTCTGTGATCAAGATGTCAGCAAGGTTGGTCTCTTCTGAGGCCTCTCTCCTTGTCTCGCAGATGGCCGCCTTCTCCCGGTCCTCACACCGTCTTTCCTCTGTGCGTGTGACCCTGGTGTCTCTCCGTGTGGCCAGATTACCTCTTCTTATAAGGACAACAATTAGATTGGATTAACCTAATCCCCTCTGTAAAGGCTCTATCTCCAAATACTGTCACCTCTAAAAATATTGGGGGTTAAGGCTTCTACATGTGGATTTAGGGGACCCAATTCAACCCATAACACTGTCCATCCCCTACTCCCTCCTTGTGGGGCCACTGAGGGCTGTCTGTGTCCCTCAAAAGAAGGCGGCAGCTTTGTCAGGCAACCCAGGGCCCTCTCTCTCCCCATCTGCCTGGGACCTTCAGGTGCTGAGCTGTTGCCAGCCCCCAGGGACCACACGGCCCCTTCTCGTTTCCCTGCACATCATCCGTTTTGAGCGGGCCGTTTCCTGCTGGCGCTGCCTGATCCCCAGTGTGGCTGGGACCCAGCAGCCCTCCTGCAGCCCTGAGGAGTTCTACGAGCCCTGCTGCACCTGGAGGCTCTGCGCTGGCCACTTACTAAAGGCACAGGGAAAAAAGGAAAAGAACCCCGGGGGCAAAAAGGCAAAAGAAGAAAAAAAAAAGGTCCCCAACAACAAAGGGCCCCGCCCGGGGGGAATCCTCGATGGCCACTCCTTCCCGCAGATACCAATTAGGTGCCTGGATGCCCTACTTGGCAGCTCCTCTCTCCTCCAGCTGCCAGCGCCAGCGCTCAAGTTCCTGCTATTTCTTTTAATTCGGTCAGCCCCTCCTACGTCTTGTGCTTCCTTTTAGCCCATCCAGGCCATTCCCTGGGGGCTTCACATTTCACACCCAAGAGCCCTCCTGGGACTGGGCCAAACAGGACTCTGCCGCCGTCCTGTAAAACTGACAGTTCCCCTCTGCACATCATATCGTGACAATCTTCCCATGTGTGACGCAGCTTCCTTACATTCTGAAGAGGTGGGTAGCATACTTTTATTTATCCAGCCATGCCCCTGTTTTGGGATACTTAGGGCATTTTTACTTCATTAAACACATTTTTTAGACCCAATTCCTTCCTTCTTAGTTTTCCAGATCTCTGGCATTGTGTATGGTTAAAACGAGGAGATGATCAAAGTATGATTTCACAAATCACACGGTTTATTGCCATACAAAGAACATTTTTTCCCTCAGGCTCACAATGCTTAAAGTGGGGGAGTTTAATATGAACAAATCTCACCAGGAAGACACTCAATAGGGTACGTCAGTCACATAGTGATTGAGTTCCGAAATCATTAAAGTCTAGTTGCTCAATTACAACGGAGGTAGCCTCTCTGGAAAGTAAAGCCTAATGCAAGTACGAGGAGTGCTACCTTTATACGAGCAGCTCTCAGAGAAGATGGCATTCAACACGGTCCCTTGAAGGCTTCCAAGTTTCAAGGCTAACAGGGTGCAGCCCTGTCGAAGAGGCAGGTGACAGAGTGTAGCCACAGTCTAAGCTCTCAAAGTGGCTGCCAAACTCCAGGTTGATATGTAGTTTGAGGTCCAGTGGTTGAGGTCACTGGCTTGCACATGGGGCCTGATAAGGTGTGTGCCACATTCTCCAGGAAAGGTGGGGAGTTCACTTCAAATTCTTGTCACAGCACAGCTTGCACCTGCCTTCAGGCCTTTATAGTCCAACATGGGGTCAAGTGAGCTGCCAATACATTAGCACACACCATGATCATGGTGACACTTACCAAGAGAGCTTAAGCTCTTTAATCTTCCTAGAAGAAATTAAGCTCTTTACCTGCTTCATCCCATTTAATCCTCACAACACGTCGATGTGGTTAGTACTTTTATTATCCCATTTTACAGATAGAGAAATGGAGGCTCAAAGAAAGGAAGCCCCATGCCTTCAGACACAAAGTCAGTATGTGACAGCGTGGACAGACATGGACCCAGAGTTCTCAAGCCCCTCTCTGTAGCTCTCGGAGGGAAGGCTGACACAGGTGAGGAGGACAGAATGTGCCGTGGGAAGGGAGGTGAAGGCAGGGGTGGTACCCAGTGCCAAGCAGTCGTGCAGGCCCAGGCTCTAGGAATCTGGGGCAAGGCTGAGGCTGCTGGGATGAATTGTGTCCAGGGTGCTTTCTGCCCCTTCCCCGACCTCCCCTCAGGGCCCGGGACCTGCTCTCTGCACCTCCGCCAGCAAGGTCAGTGGAGCTGTGGGCTGACAAGAGGCTTTTCCTGCCAGGGGGATTTGCACTCCATGGGCAATGCCCGAAGACCTTAAACATCTCCTGAGCCAGAGGATGTCTAGGTGTGAACTGAGTCTGGCAGCAGGAGCAGGTAGGCAGGCAGCAGCCTGGTGGGAAGGGAGAGGCATACTAAGGAAGGTCAGGCATAACCTCAAATGCCAGAATGAAGCCTGGGACTTTATTCTGCACCAAGGGAGCCCTGGGGGCTTAGACTGCACTGCCCAGACAGGAGCACCGGCACAAGCTCGGCTGCAGGCCTTGGACCTCTAGGCCTGGGCTGGGGTGGAAGAGGTATGTTGGTGTCCGGGTGCCCCTTCTCTGAGAGACCCACCGGCTCCCAAAGCCTGGCCCAGCTGCCCCACGCTGCCCACTTGTCAGCTCTGTGCACCGCCAGTCTCCCCTGCAGGGAATTACTTTCCTATGGGCTTTTTGTAACATCACAGAAAAGGAGAAAAAAGTCTTGAGCAGCTTGGAGAATGACAACTGGTTGGTATGAGATATTTGAGGGAATATTTAATAACCTTCTGCAAATCAGGGTGGCATCAACACCTGGAAGTATCCTCCTGGTATAAAATGGCCCTGGCTCCTTCAGCCCAGCAGGTTCCCATCATCGCTGTACGCTGGCATCACCTGGGGAACGACAATAACAACAAAGATGCGCATGCCTGCACCCCATCTCCAGATCCTGATCTATTGGTCTTGGGTGCAGCCTGGGCACTGGGATTTTATAAAGCTCCCAGGAGGTCTAGCGTGGGACCAGAGCTGGGAACCACGGCCCTACAGCCTCCTGCAGCTTTTGGTCAGAGGTGACATAGAAGTTGGTCACAACTCCTCCAAATCAAGGCACTTCCTGGAGGCCCCAGCGGCTGATTCTTGCTATATGAGGTGGTTGTGTTACTAAGGTTCTCAAAATGCCTTGAGATCCTGAGAGGGGAGAGCTGGATTCTCACCAGAATATTCTGAGGCCTGACCCAAGAGCGCCCTGTCCTTAGCCTCCTATTCATCATGACTATTCTTTCCTCCCCTGAAATAGGATCTTCACCCCAGTCTACCTCTCAAGCCATTTTTTTTTACAACCATTAAGATAAATTTTTAAAAATCATCTAAGAAACATGTATAACCCACTGGAAATTTCAAGGCAGTGAGTCATCGTGTTGCTGGTCCCCCTCAAATTCCCATCTCTTATGTAAGGCTGAGTCACTTTTGGTGAGGTCCGTGCATTGCAGGAAAAAATTGAAACGTTCTCAAGATGAGAGAGAGAGAGATGGATTCATGATTCATGTCATTTGTGCTCTCAGGGCCCGGTATTACCGTGAACTAACATCAGAGATTCCTCGTCCCCTGTACTCATTCTCTTCTACCTATTTCATTTTTGTCCAGTGACTTTTTGTTCTGGACTGCAAATGTGATGGCTCCATCACCCTGCTGCCCTGGCTCAGGATGGCTGTCACGGGGCCTGGGGACAGGCAGGTCACATGGAGGGCACGCCCCACTCCCCAGTGTGCACTTCTGGGGCAGGGCTGTGCCTGACTGCTTGTGGGCCCCGGAGCCAGAGAGGTGGATAGGACATGTCTGGGGCCCAGCCTCCAGGTCTGGGTTCGGGTTATTTCAGGATTTCTCAGGAAAACACAGAGGATGCAGAGCAGGGGTCAGGAGAATAAGGAATTGCAGTCATTCCAAGGTAGCAGAATAAAGAAGCCCCAGAGGAATGAGGGGTTTTTTTTGAGAGTTTGACCATGAAATGGATACATAGGCATCAAAGCAGACATAGGCAAAGTCATCCTAAAAAGAGACAGAATGGGCCCCAGGCCAGCAAGACCCCCATATCTAAAGGGAAGAGATGTCAGTCTGAAAGGGCCAGGTCTGCAAGGAGGGTGCAGAAAAGCCTAGCACATGGCTACACCTGTCTCATACTGCCCGGGGACCGGGTCTCTGTGGGGGAGGTGCGTGTCTCACACTGTGTCTACCTGGGACTTTCCACCATCCCCACTTGTGGGGCGCGGTGTCAACGCCATTACAAGATGGCGCCTGTTTCCGGCTTTGCCTAGAGCAGTAAACAAGTTCAGCTCACGCGCAATTGTCGGTTACCCTGTGGCGCAAGCATGCAAATGAAGGATCCTACTATGGACCAATGCTTTGGCGGCTCGACAGCTGAGCGGCCTATCCCAGCTTAGGGGTTGTGCTTCTAGGGTATATAGCAGCCTGCGTGCTGCCGGGCTGGGTCTTCCGCATCATGTAAGTCTAAAGGGAACCCCATTAAAGCACTGTCAGAAGAACTCCAGTTGCCGCGTCTTCCTTGCTGGCGAGGCGGGCGCGACACCCACTCAGTGAGGGAAGTCTCCGGTTTGAGTCCCGGAGCCCAGGACAGGCTCCCCAAGAAGTGTGCCCAAGAAAAGGGAAGTGGGGGGTGCACGTGCAGGTGAGAGAGCAGCCAGGTGCTCAGCATCTCTCTTGTGCACGAACAAATCCACCCTCTGCTGTGATAGTCCCGTGAGCCTGTCTCTCGTGAATGCCTCCCCTCCCCACCAACAGACAGCCGTCCTCACAGGCGAGAAGTAACCAGGAGAGACCCCGGAGGTGGTGAAGCAGTCGGGCAAATACCGCCCCGGCCCTGCCAGCCGCCCAGGGCGGCCCCAGCATCGCCAGAGCCTGCGCGGCTTTTTTGTAACTTCCTGAGCTTCCCCGACCAAGGAGGTAGCTGTTGAGCGTCTCAAATGTGGCTAATCTGAACTGGAACGTGCTGTAAGGGTCACGTACATACGGCATTTTGAAGACAGTATAAAAAAATGTAAAATATCTCATTAATAATTTTCCATACTGATTATATGTCGAAATGATAATGGCTGGGATATATTGGGTTAAATAAGCTATATTATTGAGAGTAATCTCACCTGTTTCTTTTTACCTTTGGTCCTACCCCAAGGTCCACCCAAATGAAACTAAAGGGACGAAGACAACAAAAGGACAGACAAAACAACAAGATCTTGGGAGCCAAAAGCCAGCGGGGTGAGTGGTCACCGAATCCAGCACCGTACTGGGTTGAACAGTGTCCCCCTAAAATTCACGTCCACCTGGAACCTCAGATCGTGACTCTATTTGGAAATAGTGTCTTTGCAGATGTAATTAGCTAATGTGAGATTCCACTGGCCTAGGATGGGTCACAAATCCAATGACAGGCATTGTATAAAACAGCCAGGTGAAGTTACAGAGACACGCACAGAGGGAGGAGGCCACGTGGTGACAGAGGCAGAGGCTGGAGTGACGCAGCTGCAAGCCAAGGACTGCCAGCAACCCCAGAGGCTAGGAAGAGGCAAGGAGGGGTTTTTATCTAGAGCCTTCCCAGGGAACATGGCTCTGCTGACACGTGATTTCTGACTTCTGGCCTCCAGAACTGTGACACGATACATTTCTATTGTTTTAAGCCTCCCAGTTGTGGTGCTTTGTTACGGCAATGCTAGGAAACTTACACACTTGGTGTGAAACAAAGAATGTAAAATATCTCATTAATAATTTTTATGTGAATTAGAGGTTGAAATGATAATATTCATTTGGGTTCATCTAAACATATTGGGTTATATAAAGTATATTACTAAAACTAACCTCACAGTTTTCTCTTTACATTTTACCAAATGTGGCGATGAGAAAACATTGAATTTTGCATAGGTGACTCATTTGTGGTTTACAGTATATTTCTGTTGGATGATGCTTTTCTAGCAGAAACAAGAGACCCTTGGGGCCTTGTGTGTGAGACTCTCTGGAGGAGAGAAAGTGGAGAAGCTTTTGAACCAGAAGTCACAGAGGTGGGAAAGGCTTTTCCACAAAGTCCTGCAGCAGCTGCGACTTCCCCAAACGCAGGGAAATACCCTGAGTTTCAGCCCCAGGTTAAACCTGCAGGAGAACGGAAGGCCCTGGGGTGGGGTGGCAGGGAGTCAGGCAGGGTCTTCTCTACATGTTGGATAGAAATCCTGTGCTGCCCCAGCAGGGTGGGCACCTCCTCGGAGAACAATCACAGCACCCCAAAAGGGACCCCTGCCCAGAGCAGGCCAGGGCAGGTGGAAGGCCAGATGGCTGCAATGAATGCCCCAGTCCCTCTTGAGGTGGGCTCAGGCTAGAACCTCCACACCTCCCTCACTTTTAAAGGCAGGGACCTACAGCCAGGCCGAGGTTCTAGAATCCCGCTAGCATGCCTTTGCTGGCTCTAGGCCATGTGGGAGTAGGGTCTTGAGGTTACCCAAACAACTCCTTGGCTCCAGAGTTGGGGGCACGGGGATGGAAGGTGGGGAGAGAGAAGCCACCTGGCTCAGCCAGACCTGACTCATGTTTTCCTTGGCCAAAGCTGGGATTCCTTTCAAGGTTTCTGCCCCAAGATAGCAGCACGCTGAGCAGGGTGGCAGCTGCATGCTGTGCTCACTGCTTGCACATGCTGAGAGGGAGCGAACATCACCCAGGGAGTGTGCGAGGTGTGAAGGGCTCCCTTGAAGTGCGAGCTGGGGGGGGGGAGGGGGAGAGAAGCTGTTTAATTGGTTTAATTGCCCTTGGAGGTGGGAGTTCAATGGGGTAGAGGTTGGATGGGGTCTGACCCTGGTCTCCCAAACAGTCCCTACTTTTCAGGGGGCCCTGGGATGCAGGGAAGCAGGCTGGTCTGGTTATTCTTCTGAGATCAAGAAATCCCAGAAGTGACCTTGAAACCACTCTCTGGAGCCCCCGTCAGAAGAGCCTCTCCCCCTCTCTGCATAATGGTAGCACCCGTTATTATTACTGTTGTTATTGTTGGACAACTTCCCTAATGACACCCCAGACAGGTTTAAGAGATCAGTGCATCCAAATTCCCCCAGGCAAGCCATCTTGTACCTAACCAAGCCACTCTGTGTTTGCTTTGAGGGACACCTGGTTGTTCTTTCTGCCTCTGAAATTCCACCCTGGGGAACTGGTCCCGGCTAAAATACCAGCTCACTCCAGGAGGAGCAATACAGCAAGTCATTCTCTTTCCAGATATTTACCGAGCACCGCAAAGCCATGTGCCAGACCACGTCTGGGCACCGGGCACATCAGTGAACAGTGCTTGGTGAGACCCAGGTGTGCAGGAGTTCTCAGGGGCATGGCGTCGTGGCTGCACGGGGGCCTCTCAGAGTCCCTGTGCTCTGACCTGTAAACAACTGGCTGGAGCAAGGGCTCAGGCTCTAGCTGCCACGGCAGAGCAAGGGTGAGAGGTCCCTGCATGTGTGTCCGTTTCCTGCGGGGTCTGGACGCCTCTGCCTGCTCTCAGCAAGGAGCCCACATTCCTCCCCGGGCCCAGCTCCAGTTCCCAGGCCTTCTCCCTGCCCGTCTGCTTCTTATCTCTGTCTCCAGTGTTTAGAAAATGTCATCTTGAGCAGTCAGGGCTGTGAACAGCCGTGGGAGCAACAGAAGGCTTGCAGCAGGGGAGCCCGGCTTCAGAGTGCAAAGCTGCTTGGAGCCTGAGAGGCCCTCGGAGACAAGACACCTACCTGCCTGTCCCCTACCCCCGCCATAGCCCACCTCTCCCTCACCTTGGGGAATCGAAGATTTGTAGTTTTGACAGGTGGGGAAGAGAGCGATGCTTTCTCCATCCCCAAACTTACCCCCCACTGGAACTTATTTGAAACAGGATCTCGAGGGACACGCACTCTGTTTTACTTGGTCAGGGCAGGAAGACTGACTGGATCTGCTTAGAAGATGAGCTCCGGGCGAGTGCTCAGTCAGCACTCCTGTTAGCACACAGGGACAGAAGACCTGCCGGTGGCCCTGGCTCTGGGACTTGCCCTTCCACAGGACAGAACAGGTTTTAAGGGCTGGGTGTCCCGGGTTGAGAGAGAGCCCCCTCCCTGCTTTCACTAAGACTCCAGGAGGACCCAAGGCCCTGGCTCTTCTAGTCTCACGGCCATTTTCCAGTTCCCATGAGGATTAAGGGACGAAGGGGACTTTCACTCCAGCAGTGGGGCTGTGGATAGACTGGGGGTGGGGTCAGGCCTGGGACGCTGATGGTCCCCTGGAGGGTTAGGCAGAGACAACGCCTCCCCACGGCAGGGCGCGTGCCTGCTGCAGGCAGAGCCGAGGCACATGTTTTCTCCGTATCTGTCCAGCCTTATGGCTTTTATAATTAGACCTGGAAAAACATCTTTTTCCTTCTTCATTCCTTTGGAAAAAACAGATTGTCTTAAACACAAAGTGATCATTTGGGCCTTTGGAAAGCAGAACAAAGAGAGAGACGACCTCGGGGGGCTAATGTTCTGTGTCCACGCCACCCGCTCCGTGGCTCGGCTCCTGCTCCCCAAGGAAAGTGCCCTGCTGTGGCTTTGACGCTGGAGATAGAAGACGACCCCCTTGTGTTCCAGAGACATTTCCCCCAAGGGCCTGACTGCTTGCAAAGCCTCTGGGAAAGCCTTGGCCACCTCCTGGCCCCACCGCTGGCCTCCAAGCTGAGGCTGCTCTGCCTGGCAGCGAGCCTGTACACCCCCCAGCGGGAGAGACGCTGCTCTCCCCATTGCTCAGATGCCTGGCTGCAGGCCCTGGGCCGACCTCAGCCAGTCTAGAAGCTTGTAAATAAGCACATTTATCTCAGACAGACCTCATTTTCTGAGGAACTGTATCCCCCCAGGGGCATTAGCTATCAAAAAGTCCATTGTTCTGTTTGGACCACAGCGCTTCCCCACCTGACAGTTGATATTTAATTGATGGCTGCTGTCCTCCATAAGGTTTTAAGTGCATTACATAGTGCTCACAGAGTTCTAGCAAAATCATTAACTCCTTTCCCCCAAGGCAGAGAGCAGTGGCCCTCCTAATATCTATCTAACCTGCTGTAAGAGCCCGACACGGTAGCTGCACATGTGTCATTGGTCAAATATGCACATACCCTGCCCTCCCGAGGCCAGGACCAAGCTGCGCTTGCAAATGGGGGCTCTTGGGAGTTGAGCAAGCTGGAAGAGGTATATTACTCAGAAATGTTTCAAGTCTGGGAGAAAAGAAGGAATCTTAGGCTCAAGGGGGGAAGCTCTGGGAAAACATTGGCCTGGAACCCTTGAGAATGTGAGATGTCAGCATTAGAGGGGCACCAGTCAGCAGCCAGGGTGGAATGTGGCACCCCACCAAGGCGGAATGTGGCACCCCACCAATGTGGAATGTGGCACCCCACCAAGGCCATGCCTCGAAGTGTGGGGCAGACATGGGCAGACAGCCCATCAGACACTGGGCAGAGCGCATGCAGGAGAGCACTGGGCGGAGCACAGGCTGCTCCAGGTAGCTCCAAAGCGGCAGGGGAGGGGCTGTCTGAGGCCTGTGTTCTAGCCCATCTCTGCTCCCCAGTGGCCACCTGACCTCACGCCAGTCCCTTGATCTCTGTGCCTCAGTTTCCTTATCTGTGGCAGGGAATGGTGATGCTGAAATAAAAGAGAAACACAAAGGTTGTGGAAAATAGCACAAGGAAGGGGCCAGCTGAGGAAGGTGACTGTTGCGGGGGCCACCAGCCAAGTCCTGCCAGATAAGTTCCATCTTGAGCTCTGGAGGCGGCAGGGTTTACAACCACACAACAGCCTGAGCTGTGCTGGCCAGGGGCATTCTGCCCCCAGGGCGGGTCTCCGGAGCTCCTGGTGGACTGATGTTGCCCTGGGAGACACTGGCTGGCCCTGCCCCCTCTCCCTGCTCCTTCCTGCTCGTGTGTTTGGGATTAGCATGCATCCCTTGAACTTTTTCATTTTTCTACTGAGATGGAAACTTGGCCAGTGACCAGGCCTGGATGTGCTCGAAGAGTGGCTGGGCTCCGTCCAAGCCCACGGTAATTGTAATCATATGTGAGGGGCTGGCTCATGGGGTGCTGGGCGGTGGGGACAGAGGGGCTGCCAAGCAGTGGGAACGGCAGGGGAGGGTGCTGGGCAGGGCCGAGGTCCTGGGCCGGCATGCAGACAGTGTGGCCTCGGCTCTGTCCTCACCTCTGTGACCCTTGGTTTCCTTGTTAACGACATGAAGGGACTGGCTTGGAGGACCTCTGAGGACCCTGCCCATGCTGTGAGAATCTGGGCTAGCATGGGATATGGGCTCACTGGGGTCCTCCCGACTCTGCCTGGCCTTACAGATACACTGAGAGGGACCGTGACCGGGCTGTGGGAGGAGGGCTCCAGGTGCCTGCCCCTGCCTTGCCTCTTCAACCTAGGTGCCTTCCCAAGGGACACAGAGAAGGGGCACTCTGAGAAAAGCCCAGGGCCAGCCAGAGAGAATAGGGCGCCAGGGTGGGATGGGGGCACTTAGAGAAGGGTCTGGAAGGGAGAGGCAGAAGAGTACCCAAAACAACCTGCCCCTGCTACCCTATGATGCAAGGCAAACCTGACCCCCATCCCCATGAGCCAGGGGCTGGGCTGCCCCTCTGCCAGTGCTGTCCACTCTCCAGGGTGACATCACTCTGCAGCCCAGAAACTTCTTCACCCAGTGGGTTGTTGTGTATTCTGTTCACACTGGAGTCTCAGAAAGCCTGAGAACAAGGAGCAGGTGAAGAGCTGCGAACACTGGCTAACTGCTATTGCCAAGGGCAGGGTGAAGCAAAGCACAGGCTGAATAGAGGTTATGAAAAGTTTCTCCAACTTTGCAGAACCATTGGGGCTTCTCTCCCCTCGCTTCCTTTCTACTTCACACGTGTCTCTCCTCACTCCTTCCCTGTCCATCTCACTCACATCCTCCCCTACTGCTTTCTCGGTCCCTCTTGCACTTCCTTTTCCTTTTCTATTAAGAGAAACAGAATAGAATGACCCAGGACAAAGAGAGTGGCTTGGGAGCCAGGTAGCCTTGACTTCTTCCAGCCATGGGCTTCCGATCTATGAAACAGGGGTAGTGATAGCCTAATCCCAGCATTGTTGGGAAGGTTGAATAGGATGTTTTCCCCACACCCTTTTATGCAGCTTTGTGTGTCAGTTAGTGTTTGGTCAAAATTCTGGAAGCCACTCTAGATATTCCAAACACTCAGGGTTTTAACACAAGGGATTGAGAGGCTTTTGTAATGCATGGAAGGGCTGGATGAGCGACACTCACGGATGCCACTGTTAGACCCTGCAAAATCAGGGCATGCCAGGATTGCAGAGATGTGGCGACCGTCTCCACTGCCTGCAGCACCAAAGCAGGCAACTTGTGGGAGCTTGCCCGGAAGCCACGGTCAACGGCACACCTGCCCAGGCCAACTCAGAGAGGAGCTGCTTCTCACCTTCAGCCTTCCGGTACTTGTGCAAGTGCTTCTTAGTGCCAGAGTCTAACTTGAAACCATGCTGGCAAGGAAGGCTGGGAAACGAGGAGCCCAGCCTTCATCCCTGGAGGCAGAGGGCAAGCAGGGCTGCGCCGATCCCGGCAGTGCCAGCATCTGTGCCAGGGCACAGTCTCCCCGTCTGCTCAGCCCAGTGGCCCTTCCCATTTCCTTGGTGCGTTTGGCAGGAACAAGGTGTTCATGAGCCATTGTGTCCTGGGAAGGACGCTAAGGGTACAGGAACAGAGAAGACATAGAAGAGGTATTTTACAATTTGTTAAGACATGAAAAATTCAGTTAAAAGAAATAGTTATGTTTCCAGAGGGCACACTAGAAAGCCCCTGACAAAGGCCTGTAGGGGGGCGCTGGATGGTCACTCCCCTCTCTGCCCACCGTCTCTTCATTGTAAAGTGAAGGAGCTGCGCTCCGAGGTCCCTTTCAGTGTGAACCTCCCGTGACTCCAGCGGTGAGACAGAAGGTGGCGTGCTTGACGCTGAGATGTGATTTTTCATCTCCCCTCCCTCTCCCCCCGATTCTTCTCTCCACCTGTGAAAATCCTCAGGTCCTTGCATCCTTTCGAGATAAACAACCAAACAAAGCAACACGTGCTGTGATTTGATTATCCGCTCTTCAGCGGTGGTTCCACCCTGCTCCTTCTTTTTATTCCGAACCCTCTAGCAAGAGTCATGAGTGTGCGCGTTGAAAGGAGCCTGGGATTCCTGCCCCCTTGGCTGGCGACTCTCAGACCTTGGCAGGGAAGAGCTGGAGGGTTCACCCACTGGCGTTTTGAGGCCTGCCATAATAAATTAGCACAAACTTGGTGGCTTAAAACAATAGAAGTTAACAACAAAGAAAACAAATAACCTAATTCAAAAATGGCATAAGGACTTGAATAGACATTTCTCCAAAGGAGATACACAAATGGCCAATAGGCACAATAGTGTTGAAGGGGATCAACATCATTAGTCATCAGGGCAGAGAAAAAGAGGGGAGGGAGAAAGGGGGACGGGTAAAAACCTAACAGGTACAATGAACACTGTTCAGGTGATGGGCACACGAATAGCCTGGACTTAAGTATTACAAAAACCATCCATATGACAAAAACATTTGTACCCCCTTAATATTTTGAAATTACAAAAAAAGAAAAATCAAAACCACAATGACATACTACTTCTCACCTCCTAGGATGGCTATAAATACAGAAACAAAGAAAAACAAAAAACTGAAAAAGGATTGGCAAGCATGTGCAGAAATTGGATCCCTTGCACATAGCTGGTGGGAATGTTACATGGTGCAGCTGCTGTGGAAGACAGTTTGGCAGTTCCTCAAAACGTTAATCATGTAATTATCATATGATCCGGCAATTGCACTCCTAGGTATATATCCGAAGGAATTGAAAGCTGGGACTCAGACAGATATCTGTATACCAGTGTTCATAGCAGCATTATTCACAACAGCCAAAAGGTAGAAACAACCCAGTGTTCATCACTAGATAAATGAATAAATAAAATGTAGTATATACACACAATGGAATTCTATTGACCCATAAAAGGGAATGAAATTTTGATAAATGCTGCAACCTGGAGGTGCCTTGAAAACATTATGCTTAGTGAATAAACTGGACACAGAAGGACAAATATCGTATGACTCCACTTACGTGAGGTAGCTAGAGTAATTAAATTCATGGAGACACAAAGTAGAAAAGAGGGGACCAGGGGCTGAGGGAAGGGAGAAGGGAGAGTGTTGTTTAACAGGTACAGAGTTTATGTTTGGGTACAGATGGTGGTGATGGGCACACAGCATTGTGGATGCAATTCATGCTACTGAATTTTGCGCTTATAAATGGTTAAAGTGATAAACTTTATGTTGTGCGTTTTGGCCAGAAAAATATAAAAACAAAACAAAACAAGCAGAAATTTACTCTCATGGTTTGGGCAGCTGGAAGTCTGAAAGCACAGTGTGGGCAGAGCCATGCTCCCTCTGAATGCTGTCAGGAGAGATTCCTTCCTTGGTCTCCTCCAACTTCTGGTGGCTCCAGGTACTGTCTGGCTTGTGACTGCACAATTCCAATCTCTGCCCCTATCCTCACATGGCCTTCTTCTCTGTGTCTGTCTTCTCCTCTGTGTGTGTCTTAAAAGGACACTTATTGTTGGATTGAGGGTCCACCCTAATAATCCAGGATGATCCTATCTTGAGATCTTTAATTATATCTGCAAAGACCCTTTTCTCAATAAGGCCACAATTATAGGTTCTAGGGATTAGGATGTGAACATGTCTTTGGGGGGGGTCACGACTGAACCTACTGCAGTGCCCTCCACACACACCCCTCCCCAAGCGACTAGATGGGATGTCCTGAGCTCAGGGCAGCCAATCCATTGGCCGGCCAGCCGACTGAAACGTGGTCTAGACTGAACACAGGAGCTGGGTTGGTCAGGGTCATACTTTCTGGAACTGGGGAACATAGAGAGCCTGAGCTAGTTAGCAGTAGGGCCAGAGGTAAAAAGTGGCCTTCAGTTGGTGCCCAGCGCGAGCAGAAATTGAGAAGGGGCAGGTGCTGTATGTAAATATTAGGTTATTAAGTATGAATGTCCGAGTCCCTTAAGTACTAAGTTCGCTAGTTGGCCAGTTGATATCTTGGACATTTCACTTTGACACTTCTTGGTTTTTTTTTTTTGATTGTGAAGGTACATCCTCAGTCTTTTAAATGCACGTTTTGGCTTGTGATTATCTTTCACATTTTTTTAGAGCAATTTTGTGAAACCATGGATAAGTCAAAAATTCATATTACTTTCGAATATGAGCTCTGTCATAGAACCAATGCAGGGCAGACAGCTCTAAATATCAACGAAGTGTTTGGGAAGGATGTGGCTAATGAACACACAGTACATCAATGGTTTGACAAGTTCCATTCTGGTGATTTTAATCTTGAAAATGAGCCATGTGGGTGACCTGACACCAGGGTGGATAATGATGAGCTGAAAGCTGTTAGTGGAAGCGAATCCATCTCAACCTACAATATGTGAATTAGCAGCAAGGTTTGACATTACTATTCCAACAATATTGGACCATTTGAAACAAATGGGCAAGGTAAAGAAGCTGAATAGATGGGTTCTGTGTGAATTAAATGAGCATCAGAAGAGAAATCGTCTGGAAGCTTGCCTTTCTCTGCTGTCATGACATAAAGGTGAACCAGTTTTACACCATGTTGTTACATGTGATGAAAAATGGATTCTTTTTGACAATCACAAGCATTTGGCACAATGGTTGGATAAAGATGAAGTGTTGAAACACAGTCCAAAACCAAATATTCATCCAAAAAAGCTAATGGTGTCTGTTTGGTGGTCCAGTACTAGTATTATCCACTACAGCTTTATGAAACCTGGTCAATTGATTACAGCAGATGTCTACTGCAACCAGTTGGATGAAATGATAAGGATGCTTGTGATTGAGCAGCTGAGACTGGTCAACAGAGACAAGCCAATCCTTTTGCAAGACCACATGTCACAACAAACAACACTGCTCAAACTACAGAGGCTGGACTTGGAAACTCTTTCATCCACTGTATTCACCAGACCTTGCACCAACTGACTACCACTTCTTCCAGGCTTTGGACCACTTCTTGCAAGGAAAAATATTCAATTCTTAACAAGCTGTGGAAAACGCCTTTCGTGATTTGCCACTCATTTTCCAGGCTCCTTCCCTGCTGGCATAAACAAGCTACTGTTAAGATTGGAAAACTGTGTTGATAGTTTAGGCACATACTTTGATGAATTGTATTGCTTCTTGTTTGAGATATAATAAACTAAACTTTTGATTTGGAATCAGACATTTCATATTTAATGACTTAATAGAAGAAACCAGTCAGGAAAGGAGAGTGAGCAGATGTGCGGAGAGGAAAGAGATGCCAGGCAGGAGATCTTGCAACCTGCCAGAGAGACAGGGGGCTCCCAGGGACTGCTTTGGTTCCTGGCAGCCCTTCAGGTACACGGTAGGGCCATGTGTAGCCTGCAAAAGTTGCTAAGGCACTTACAAAGTCTTTTTCTTGGGGCCACATGATCCTGACCAGAACAAGGACAAACATTCCTTGTTCTATAGGTGCCTCAGCTTGAGGTCGCCATGTAAGATCCTTTGTAAAGATGGCCTCAAAAATTCCTCCCATGCAATGTGTCCCTTTGTAACATGACTTTGCTTGCTGCTCCTCTTACCGAGAAGTGAAGTTATTTCTTCTCCCCTTGAATATGAACTTGGCAATGTGACTTACTTTGGCCAATGGGATATTAGCAAAGGTAATGCATATACAGGGAAGACTCTTTCCCGGCCTCCTTCTAGCTTCTGTTGGCTGCTGCTGGTTCTCGGCCTTCCTTGGCTTGCCCTGCATCACTCCAGTCTCTGCCTCCATCATCAAAGGGTCCTCTCCCTGGTCTCTCTGTGTCCCTTTGTCTCTGTGCCTCCGAGTCTCCCTCTCTTTGTAAGGACACCAGTCATTGGGTACAGGTCCTACCCTCTTCCAATATAACTTCATCTTAACTTGATTCCATCTGCAAAGATCCTGTTTCCAAATAAGGTCCCATCCACAGGTACCAGGGATTAGGGCTTGAACATATCTTTTTTTTTTTTTTTTGAGACAGAGTCTCACTTTGTTGCCTAGGCTAGAGTGAGTGCCGTGGCATCAGCCTAGCTCACAGCAACCTCAAACTCCTGGGCTCAAGCGATCCTGCTGCCTCAGCCTCCCGAGTAGCTGGGACTACAGGCACGCACCACCATGCCGGGCTAATTTTTTCTATATATATTAGTTGGCCAATTAATTTCTTTCTATTTATAGTAGAGATGGGGTCTCACTCTTGCTCAGGCTGGTTTCAAACTCCTGAGCTCAAATGATCCACCCGCCTTGGCCTCCCAGAGTGCTAGGATTACAGGCGTGAGCCACCGCGCCCGGCCTTGAACATACCTTTTTCAGGGACACAATTCAACCTACAACAGCCCCTCTCTGCCCTGTAGCTTTCACCGGTTCCATGGGACACATCCATGCATCCTCTCTCCCAGAAGACTCAGGAACTTTTGGCTGATCTCAGCACAGCTGCTTCTCCTTCAGCTCATCCCCCGAGCAGATGTCCAGCAGATTGCTCAGGTGGCATCAGCACCCGTCCACTGGGGCCCCGCAGTAGCCATCTCTCTGAGAAGCTCCAACGAAGCTCCCCTCACGGGCTCGGTGTGAGAGGCAGGCGCCCTCCACTCTTCCTGCTTGCAAGGAGAGGAATATGCCATTCAATAAATATTAGTAAATCCTTTCCCCCAGTTTCCCCCCTTAATCTCCAGCAACCTGATCCTCAACCACAAGAAGAAGAGTTGTAAAACCAGTTTTAAAATATTTCCTTATAAAATTTGGGTTTTGTTCCCCGGGACTCTGGGAGCTGGTGTCTGTCATCTTAACCCCTCAGCCGAAAGTTCACGGTACGCCCTCTCCTCAGGCCTGAGGAACGGGGACCAAACCGCTCTTCACAGATGGCCCCCCAGCTGGTCAGTCAGACCTTTTGGGGGGAGAGGGGTCTCCAGGCTGGGCCCCGTCCTGCGTGCTCGGGCCCCCTACTGAAGGAAGCCCCCCACACCCAGCCGACTGCCGCTTCCCCATCCCGTGCCCGCGTCACACTCCCTTGCGAGCTGCATGTCCCTCATCATAAAATTGAAATAAAAAAACGCAGATCCCACCTCTCAGAGTCATTGTCAGAACTGAGCGTGCGAGAATGACCCAGGTGGCTGCAATGTATTTATTCAGTTCCCGGACAATACATCTTAACTGGAGTCTCCTGGACAGCCCTCGGGAGGGAAAGCGGGGGGCGCGGAGCCCGCAAGACTGAAAACAGAAATAACGCGGTGTGAGAGCGCACGAGAGAGTCACAGACCCGCCACGATCCCCGTCAAGCCAGTGGCACAGTATACACTCTGCTGGGATTTGGAGGAAGTAGATAATCCTGGTTCGGGGTGGCTTCTTAGAGGAGGCAGGCCCTGAGGACAGTGAGATTGGACTGGGTGTCAGAAGCCACCCAGAACCTGTGGAGCTTTAAGAACCACCGATGCCCGGGTCCCACCCCAGAGACTCCCATGTAGGTGGTTTGGGGTTTGGAAAGGCCCTCCCCACCCCCCCGTGGATTCTAATGTGTAGCCGGAGGTTGAGAACTGTTGCTGGACTGTCTAAACTCAGCTGGAGCAATATGGCTTTTGTTAAAAAAAAATTCTAGCTGCTGCCCCCACGTTCTTCCAGCTGCTTCCCAACAGCCAAGCTCCTGCTCAAAATGCTTCTTTCCCTTCCCAGGAAACTCCCTCCTGACTGTGGGGGCATCTCGTTCTTTGTGCTTTACCCTGCTCGTCAGAAGTGCTCTCTTCCTCCAAGACCATGCAGTTGTGCTCAAATGTCATCAGGTTGCAAAGCATTTTCCAGAAGGGTCAGAGGGGGCCTTTGGAAGCAAAGAGGCCACTGCAGCAGCAGAGGCCGGGAGGAAAGCGTGCCTCCCCCAGCTGGGAGCCAGCACCCCCCAGCCCGCGTGCTGCCGCTGCCGCTAACTGGCTCGCCACTCTGCGCCTTCACGTCCACGCCTGTGCAATGGGGGTGGCCCGGGGGCCCTTGGAGCTTCCGGGCTCTCTGAGCCTTCAGAAGCTGCTCCAAGCCGCTCACAGCTGGGCCTGAGGTCCAGCTCACCTCCCAGGCCCTGCTTCCTGGGGCCTCGGCCAAGCCCCGGGCTTCCTGCCTGGTGCGCCGGGCACAAGGGGCCCTCACAGAGCCTCGGCGTGGTGTCCTGGGGAGGCCGGGAGCCTCTCAGAGCCGACACAGAGGCTTCGTCTGTGTCCCAGGCTGAGGGAGGAGGGGACTGGCCAGCCCATGGGGACGCTACCTTGCCTCTGGATTTTTCCGTGGCTTTCTCAGAGCCTTTCACTTGATCATCAAGTAAGCCCTCAGCAGCAGAGACCAGTAGGACAGAGAGCTCCAGTTTACGTGGGAGGAGCTGAGGGGCTGGGGGGCAGGGAGATGGTAGCACATCAGAGCAGCTAGAGTATCTGCCCTCCTGCCGTTTGACCTCCCCCACCTCAATTTTCTTACCTGAAAAAGCAGACACTCTTGATTGCTCTGGTAGGCTTGGCCCTGCTCCGTGGAGAAGGGGCTCAGGGACACCTCTGATCACAAGGTGGGACCCAGGGGCCAAGTCAATGCAGAGGCAGGACCCTGAGAGACCCATGATAGGAAAGGTTCTGTTCTAGACCCTGAGAGACCCATGATAGGAAAGGTTCCGTTCTAGAACATTCTGTCCATCAGCTCATATCATCTGCATAACAGCCCTGCCAGTCAGGCATCCTTTGCCCCATTTTGCAGAAGGAGCATTGGAGACTGAGAGTTCACACTCAGGTTCTTCCCACCACGCTGTGCTAACCTCCTTGGGCATGGGTTTAGCACCGCAAAGTTTAAAGGCCAGCTCTGACGCTGCGTGGTCTCCTCCCTGCAGACGGATGGCCAGCAGGACGGGGCAGCCTTGGGCCCCAGTCACCAATTCAGGCCAGGAATCCAGAGAAGAGAAACTGCTGAGTTTGAGGAACGTATGCTTTGAGATCATTCCCTTCCTTAGATCATTTTTTACAGAGAAATTTTACATGCATTAAAGAGTTACATACTTTTGAAAAACCAAGGCAAACCATAAGAGAAACTTGAACATTTATCAAATCTCTGGAGAAAGAATGTCTTTTATTAAACTTAGAAATGATTGATGAAATCACAAAGAGAAGATTAGCGGGTTTGACTACAGAGAAATGGAAATTTTCTGTATTTAAAAAATGACTAAAAAGGGGCAAGTGGGGAAAATATTTGTAGCATTTGAGGTAGATGAAAAGGTAATTATCTATTTTTATTTATTTATATGCTGTCTCCTTCCTAAAAAGTTTTGAGGAGGGAATATTACATGAAGAGTTCATTCATACAAACTGATAGTTACAAACAGGAAGCCTTATATTTATGTAAATATGCAAGAAGCATAATGAAGCAATTTACATAAAACAGATTATAACTAGCAAATGGACTTATTAAAAATTGTCCAACCGTGCTAATCGCCAAAGAAACGATTTTCTATTTAACTTTTTAAATAGAAAAAAGCATTTTAATTGATACCCAGTGCTCATGAAGTTATGATCAAATAGCCAGCCCCACACATTGCTGGCCTGACTAAATTGTTACAACTCACAAAGAAAACAATATGGTGAAAGATATCGATAACTATAAAAATATTTGTTCTCTTCAACAGAGTTATTTTACTACTGGGAATTTAAACCAAAAATTCAAAACTGTGAAAAGAGTTATATGCACAGAAATTCTCATTGCAGCATTTTGGAAAAAAAGGTGAAAATTTAAAATGCCCTAAATGTCCTAAACTAGGGAAATGATTAACTAAACTATGCCTTATCCGCTCAATGGAATCCAAGGCAGCCTTTTTAAAAGAGGTTTGCAAAGACTGATGGCAAATAAAAATGACTATGACAAAATTTTGACTTTAAAAAGCAGGATATATTATATAACTGCAGTATTCATGATATATAATTCATAGTATTCATGTAGCTATGTGAAAAAAATGCATGCGTACAAATAGGAGAAAGTCAGGTCTTCCCCCAACATGTTCAGGGTCTGGGGTACAAATGGAGACCACATGCCAAATGCTTAAATATTAAAAAGTAATAATTTAAGCTGACAAACTGTCAAATAAAATGTTTTATCTTCCTACCTTGTGATAAGTTACGATGCATATTGTAATTCCTAGAGCAACCATTAAGAAAATAACAAATAATACTTTAAAAATGAACAAAGAAATTAAAAATATTCTAGAAGAGTATCTGTTTAACACAAAAGAAAGCCATAAAGGAGCAACAGGCCTGGTGCCCTGGCTCAAGCCTGTAATCCAGCTGAGGCAGGAGGATGGCTTGAGTCCAGGACTTTGAGACCAGCCTGAGCAACACAGTGAGGACCCCATTTCTACAAAAATGTAGAAAAATTAGCTGGGCATGGTGGCACACACCTGTAGTCCCAGCTACTTGGGAGGCTGAAGTAGGAGGATCGCTTGAACCCAGGAGTTTGAGGTTGCACTGAGCTATGGTGATGCCACTGCACTCCTGTCTGGGGCAAAATGATAGATATAAATCCAATCATATCAGTAATTACTGTTATGGACTGAATGTTTCTGTCCTCCAAGTTTATAGGTTGAAGCCCTAAATCCCAATGTGATGGTATTTAGAAGTGAGGCTTTTGGGAGGTAATTAGGTTTAGATGAGGTCTTGAGGGTGGGGCCCCTATGATGGGATTAGTGTCCTTATAAGAAGAGGAAGAGATCAGAGGTCTCTTTCTCTCTCTACCACCTGAAGACACAGCAAGAAGACAGCCTTCTGCAAGTCAGGAAGAGAGCCCTCACCAGGAACTGAATTTTCTAGCACTTTGATCTTGGACTTCTTAGCCTCCAGAACTATGAGACATAAATGTCTGTTGTTTAAGCCACCCTGTATTTGTTATAGTAGCCTAAAACAATTACATTGAATCATAGCTGCATTATTCATAATTGCCGTAAACTGAAAATAACCCAAATGCCCATACACTAAATTAGATAAATGATGGAATACTAGGCAGCAATTAAAAAGGAATGGACTACTGATACTTGCTTCAATATGGACAAACCTCAGAAACATTATGATAAGGAAAAGAAGCTAGATGCAAAAGACCACATATTATCTAGATGCAAAAGACCACATATTACCTGATTCCATTGATAGGACATGTCCCAAACAGACAAATCTACAGTGGTTGGCAGGGGGTGGGGGTAGGGGGCTGGCAGTGCAACAGGGACTACAAATGGCCACAAGGGGTTTTGAGGTGTGATGGAAATGTCTTCTCTAAAACTGGATTATGATGATGGTTGCAGTGGTAGACAACTGCAAAATTCACTAAAAATCATTGAATTGCATCTTTAAAACCGGTGAAATGTATGGTCCATAAATCACATCTCCATAAAGCTGGTTTTTCTAAAGATGCTGAAATTAAAAAAGTTTGTGCTGCAAATGATACCATCAAGAAAATAAAAAAGAAAGAAAGAAAATGAAAAAACAACCCATTAACAGTTTGAAGTGTGTGTGTGTTTTGTCCCTGCCGCATGGTTTAGCTGGGTGCAATTTTCTGGCTGGGTTCCACAGGCTTTTTTTTTAAGCCAAATAATAAATACTTGCAGCCTTGCAGAGCCATCAGTATCTTTTGCAACGGCTCAATTCTGCTGTTGTTGTGCCAAAGCACCCATAGGCCAAACGTAAATAAAATAAGTGTTGCTGTGTTCTAATAAATCTTTGTGTACAAAAGTAGGGCAGAGGGCTGTGGTTTGCCAACCTGACAGAGAGTTTCTCATGGAGGAAATCACAAGAGCAAATGTGAGGTTTGCATTATGTTCACATTGTTCCCTAAGACACTGATTGTGTTGGAACAAGTTCTCATTTTCTTTTCTTTTATTTTTTTTTCTTTTTTTTTTAAATAGTTTTAAACACATGGAAAGTTCTCATTTTCAAAACAAGCATTCTAGCAGAACTGACTGAACCTCATTGGCTGTCACAAGAAAGGTAAGGACTTTGCAGTGCCTGGAAAGTCCTAAGTCACCAATGGATCAGTGGTCAATAGAGTCGTTGCAAAAGATACTGATGGCTCTGCAAGGCTGAAGTATTTATTATTTGGCTTTTAAAAAAAACGTCTGTGGAACCCAGCCAGAAAATTGCACCCAGCTGAGCCATGTGGCAGGGACAAAACACACACACACTTCAAACCATTCATGGGTTGTTTTTTCATTTTCTTGATGGTATCATTTGCAGCACAAACTTTTTAAATTTTAGCATCTTTAGAAAAACCAGCTTTATTGAGATGTAATTTATGGACCATATATTTCACCGGTTTTAAATGTGCAATTCAATGATTTTTAGTGAATTTTGCAGTTGTTTACCACTGCAACCATTATCATAATCCAGTTTTAGAGAAGACATTTCCATCACACCCCAAAACCCCTTGTGGCCATTTGTAGTCCCTGTGGCACTGCCAGCCCCACCCCCCACCCCCTGCCAACCACTGTAGATTTGTCTGTTTGGGACATGTCCTATCAATGGAATCATGTAATATGTGGTCTTGTGCATCTAGCTTCTTTTGCTTATCATGGTGTTTTTGAGTTTTTTGTTAGTGATTATTATTAGCTATGTTTTATGGCTGGCATTACATTTGATTATCTATGTGATGCACTTAGAACAGCTCTTGCAACTTAGTAATTTTTTAAAGACTCTTTTTAGAGCAGTTTTAGGTTCACGACAAAATTGTGAGGAGGTAACAGAGTTGTCCCAGATGCCCCCTGCCCCCACACAGCCTCCGCCATTGTCAACAGCTCCCACCAGAGTGGCACATTTGTTACGACTGATGACATATCATAATCACCCTAAGTCCATATGTTCCAGTAGGGTGTGTGCTGGACATTCTGTGGGTTTGCACAAATGTATAATGACATGTGCCACCATGACAGTATCATACAGAGTTGTCCCACTGCCCTGAAAACCCCGTAAGCTCCACCTAGTAATCCCTCCCACCCCCCTCACCCCTGGCAACCACTGATCATTTTTCTGTCTCCTTAGTTTTGCCTTTTCCAGAATGCATAGAGTTGGACTCATTCAGTTTGTAGCCCTTCAGATTGGCTTCTTTCACTTGACACTTAATGATTTTTAATTCAAGCATCTACCATTTTCATTAAATCTAAGAAAGACATCTTTCTTAAAAATCATGGTAAAATACACATAAAATTCATGTGTAAAAGATGTGTAACCATTTTAAAGTACACAATTCGGCAGCATTTCGTACGTTCACAGTGTTGTGCAACCATCACCGCTATATAGTTCCAGAACACTTCCGCGTGTCATCCCCAAAGGAAACTCCATGCCCATTAAGTAGTCATTCCCCGTTCCCCTCCTATCCTCTGGAAGACACTTTTTTAAAAAATGACTCCTTCACTTCTCTGAATTCTTCCCATTGAGCTGTGCTCCCAATCAAAAGCATCTTATAATCACTGTTTCTCGTGTGGCAGTCTCACATAGCTGTCATCACCCACCGAGCATAAACTTGGCCACAGCTCTAGAGGAATGCATAGCCTCATGCGTTCTTCGCTATGTTATGTGTCGAGTTTAACTGCTTCTAAACTGCCTTCACGAAGACCATGATCCAACAGAGAAATGAAAACTTGTTGAGTATGAAGGACATGAAACAGAGTGGCAGGATATAAACTTGATTTT